CGGGCGTCCCTCGCCTTAAAGCCTAGAAGCTGCTAGTTTAAGCGCCCATGTACTAGTTCACTCCTCTCCATGGCAATTCTAAAGTGACGGCCAAAGTTGCATGCTCCTAGCTTACAGTCCAGTTCGAAAAGGCTTCTGGGGTCGGCTGTGACAGTTTAGTGACAAAATGTCATTCAAGAACATCCATGAAAGAATGGCATTAGAAAAAATCATAACTTCTATGGAAGACAAAAGGATTTTATGAAACGAATAGGCCTATGACAGTAATAGTGATAATACTGTTTTACCTTCACTGGCTTTAAAAGAATTCTCAATTTGGCAGAAGCAGGAAATGAATGGGCGTGTGAAGTGGTAAAAAAGGTGTGGGGAGCAGCAATACTAACACGCCCTTGTCGTAACTGCTGAAGAGCTCCTGATAAGCGCCTTCGATGACGAAAAGCCTATTACGATCGCTTTCATGACGTCACAACACTTCCGATTTTGCTGAAAAATGTGCCTAGCCCATGATAAAGATCTTTTTGAGACATTGCATTTCTGATACCTATAACCTCAACTTCGTCAGAGAGTACACACTCTTTAACTGAAGACCTTCAATCGAGCTTGTGTTCAAATACTGATGTCATCTTTGGGAGTCATATCAATACATCTTTAGGCCAGATGTGAGGTGTGCACAAGTGCGCTAATCACTATCTATGGTGCGGGCATGGAGTCCCGGATCGGAACTTACCCGAGCCCATCATTCCACTACTTCTTGGATAGGTCGCCATCTCCCCCACTCCTCAAGGTAGGTCAGTTGTTTTATCTGGGATGGGAGAACAAAAGCGTATATGGCAGTCAAGGTTCGTCAAAATAATACAAAAAAGTAAGTGAAGAGGAAGCAAGGCAAGGTCTTTAATACTAGGCAAGCAAAACAGGCTGTTTAAGAGTTTGTGATCTCTGGAATTTCTTGTGGAGTGCAATAGCCCTCCTTCACACTGAGCGTTTTGTATAATACATACCCAACATCTTGGAGTTCTCATTGGCGTGAATAAATTTTGAAGGCTCCGCAGTTCACGATGAATGTGATTTTTAAGGTTCCTTTTAAGGATGGGTCTGTGTTCGGTGATTGTTCTATATTGAGCGTATTTGGTCGAAAAGCGGTCTGAATGGCGTCTTTTAGGAAGTTGCGAACGTGTTCCATAGCTCTGTAGGGGATGCACCATTCACGAAGGAGCAAATAGCAACAGAGAATATCATCATAAAGATTCGAGATTTTTACTATATAGATGTCGATTCAAGATGATGAAGGAAAACATTTTTTGGTTTCTGTAGCCAGTTCCTCACGCAATCGCACCCACCAACACCTCATCCAAATGCCTCTTCCTTCCTTTTTCGTAATTATTAGGTCGTTCGAAAAGTAATTCAGTTTTTCGAGGATGGGTTTTCAAAAACTCTTGAGAAGCTTTTCGGAAGTTTGAACGCTTTTCATCTGTTTTAGGAAAACTGAACAAATTTCATTATCACTTATAATTTTGAGATCACTTTGAACATGAAGTGTCAGTCAGATGGAGCTTCTTCGGCGTATTTACCTTTTTCACTTCTGTCTTGGTTGGAAAGCTTCCGGTGTTTTCTTTGATAATTAGAAAATAAGTTGACAACTCTCATGACGGATCGCGGGTCTACAACTTCTCGTTTCGGCAATTTACTCCTTCAAGTTGGGCCGACCTGTATGGGAAAAGTTCACGAGAATATCGAAAAGTTTGAACCTTTTAGAAAAAGAGGTGTTTGGGTAGCACATGAGTTGAGAGGAATGCACATGACGCCGCGAGATAGGGTCTGCGATTTGCTCTTCGAACGAAATGAAGGCCGCCTATTTGCCAACCGAATAGCGATTGTTGATGAAGGTTGGAATATCTGATGATTTTACTCACAAATGATTATGGTAAATATTTGACGAACCCGCTCGGATGA